GAATTGTCAGAAGGCAAGTGAGACTTGATTTTTCACAATGTTCATTTAGATGGGAACAAATTCTAGATTTCTCAGAAATCTCACCTTTTGGAAGTATAGTATTATGAGTATGCTGATTTGGCCTTAGCTTTTTAAATTCCTTAGAAAGACAGATACACACATACAGAAAGAGACAGAGAGAGACTTCATTATCTCCAGCTTTCTTCTGTCCCGGAGGGCAGGAGCCCTCAAGCCCTCAAAGAAGTACTTTGTGGGAATCCAGGAGATTGCTTTTTACTTGAGTGTTATTTGAAATTTCCTGTGGACTGTGGATCTGAAACCTTGGGGTCAGGGTGAGAGTTTGTGATCTAAAGATTCTTGACCTTGCCTTCTACAAAACCACAAATTAATATTGGTAGAACTCATCACCGCAGGATAGCTACCCAGCTGCCCTGCATCCAGGTAAAATTGATTCTTAAATTCAGAAAAATTCCTAATTTTTGAATAATCATGTTAAACCTTTTATGCCTGACACCGTTATTAAAAATTGATTCTTAAATTCAGAAAAATTCTTAATTTTTGAATAATCATGTTAAACCTTTTATGCCTGACATCATTATTCAAAATTGCAACCAATTCTAAGTTAAGAAAACTATCATAAGAAAACTCCAACTCTGTAAGGTTTATAGAATGGTATTTCAAATATGGCTGAACCTAATTTCTGGTTTTAAAAAGGGGGAGAAAAACAGAAAGTATTCATGTCCTACCTTTGTATATAGTTCACATTCTGTGAAAAAGCTTCCACAGCCTTGTGCTAATTGGGGAGGGGGAAGGTTGAAAATCAGGAGCCTCTTGAGGTCAGTGGCTCCTCTTATCTTTACTAAAGATCCAAACTAGCAATCAGCTAGCTTTGCCAGTTATGTGACCTTGGACAAAGTCACCTTTCTGTGCCTCAGTTTCCTCAACTGTGAAATGGGAATAATAATAATAATGCTCTCTCATAGAGTTACATAAGGATTACATGAATAAATATAATAATGTACTAGGTCAGTGCCTGATGTTCATACATAATAAATACCACACAATAGTTAGTTGTAATTGAGTTGATACTAGATGTCCAAGAAAAAAGGTAAGTAGAGAGGAGGTGACAAAGAAGGACAGAAGGAGAGAGAGAGAGAGAGAGAGAGAGAATGAATCTTGTCCCTGACAGGAAGAAGAGAGCAGTTGCTGGGCCACAGCTGGTTTGATCCCTGGCACTCCTTTTTAGAAACTAACTCTCTTAAGTGGATGGAGAGTTTTCCTGAAAAAGACTGGATGGTTCATGAAGACTGGCTTCACTTTGGGCACAGGGCCTCCCAGCCTCACCAAAGACTCCCATGTCCCTAGAATCTGCAGAGCCCTGGACATGAGGAATAATCTCAGCCAGGATTATGAGAATTTTAACATTGATTAAATGAAAAACCAATGAACCAGGAAGGGGGGTGGGGTGGGAGGAATGTTTAGGAAGTTCCTCCTTATTCTTGGTGCTGTAACACACGCAATCTCAGTGCATTCTTAAGGGAGGGAAAACTCAATAGGGTGGGTAATTGGAGTTGGATTTAGATTTATTTAAAGGAAATAAAGAAATATAATGTTTTCTGTGTACCTGGATTGTGAACTGAGACTTATACCCACTGCATTAATTGGTTCTTGTAATGATATTGTTTATAGATGTGTTCTTAGATGTTTCACATATATACGTCCTGTTTTCCAAAATGTATCCTATCTTTGTTGGCAGGGCCATTTAAAAATATCGGCCATAATCCTCCACTGTACAGAGAGATGTAATCATCCTTTCTCCAAGTTATATGACACAAAACTTTTATCAAAGTGTAGCAGTTTTGTCTTTGCTCCAGCTGAATTTTCTGTCACTCAAAATTCTGTGAGATGTGATGGAGAGTGAATGGATTGTGTGATGCAGTTTTGTTAACATAAAACTGGCATTAAATAAAGAACATATGTTTATTGGAACACGTGGGAGCTTTTGTACCATGAGAATATAAGTGGTTAAGGTCAGGGCAGGAGTCAGCTCTATTCAAACAGCTACCCAGTGCAGAAAGGCTGCGGGGAAATGAATGAAGCCACAACTAGGCAGGCTTTTATGGAAACCGTGAGATGTTATATTGTAATAATGATTTCCATGTTATCGTTACTGATTTCAATGATGATTTTGGTATTTAATCTCTTTGAGTATGCTGCCAAAAATCTGGAATTTAAAAGGGTGTAAAAAATACTGAAAGGTTGAGAATTACTACATTGGGATAATCATATCTTTAAAAAAAATAGCATGAGGCTCTTGAATGATAGGTTGTTGATTCTTTCAACATCCTCTTGTTGGGTCAAAAAGAAGAATCTCAGCTGGATTACCTAAATACCTCCGCCTATTGTCAAGCTGCCAAGGAGACTGTAAGTAAGCAGCAATGACTACAAGAACTGTTGGTTTGACTTCTAACACTTCCACACTTCCACAGATTTCTTTGGTAAGGAGAGAGCAAGCCAAAATGTACTTAGACTATTTATACATAAGCTTAATGGCAGGATGAATTTCACTTGCCCCACAAGTCCCATGGAAGTGGGCCCAGGTAGATATTGTGCACACAGGGTTTGTGTTACTGCTGAGGAACCCTGAGTCTAGAAAACCCTCATCCTCATAAGGGGATGCAAAACCTGCTGCAAACCTGTCCAGTCTTTGTTCCCAAGGGAGACATTATCTTTATTACTTGGAATATAAGAAAATCGCCCATGGAGAAGGCAGAGATAGTTTATTATCTTGGAGTGACTAAATAAATCTGCTCTGTGACCAGGAGAATGACACTCTCTTTAGCTTCTATGGCTGTCTGTTATGCAAATATCCTTGAGAAAAATTGTTATTGAGCAATCATCTATGTGTAGTGCCCTGGGTTTAGCACTGTGGAAGAAATGATAGAGACTATCAGATGTGGATTGGAACATGAGTTCTGCTGTGTACTAATTGGGTCACCATGGGTGAGTGATTTAACTTCCCTGTAAAATGAGGAATAATATTTCCCTCTTTGTAGAGCTATTGAAACAATTAAATGAGAGCGTACATTTCAAGCACATGGTACTGTAACACGAATAATAACATGTTGTAAAATTTAGGATTGCTTTAGGCTGTGAGGAATAGAAAAGTTGATCAGCAGTAGCTTAAAATATAGGATTTTTTTTTCCTTGCATAACAACAAGGCCAGAAATAGGCATCCCAGAATTGGCCTGGCTCCTCCCTAATGCTGCTGAGGACAGGCTTGCTCTGCCTTCTTTAGCATGTGGCTCTTGTTGTTTGTGGTGGCAAATGGTTGCCGTTCCCCTAGGCCTAAATCTGCATTATAGGAAGGAACAGTTTTGGAGGGACCCAAAAGCCTTCTACATGCAAGCTTTGTATTTTTATTCTGTATTTTTATGCCCTTCCCAAGGACTTCTTCCATGCAATAATGGGCAGATTCTGGTTTCCTGGCTACTCTCAGCTGGGAGATTGAATATTTTTATAGTTAGCTACACAGTTGCCCCAAACAAAATTGAAATTCAGTGAAAAGGGAAGAAGGTAGGATAGATACTGGCTAGTAGACTGGCAATGTCTGCCATAGAAGTGATCGGTGTGCAAGCTGTTCATTTTCTAATATGGCACTTCAGTGAGCAATAAAAACTTTCTGTCCTGGCAGTTGCAGATTGTAGTTGATGTACACTTTTTATTAGGCATTTATGTTTAAACTTAAAAAGGCTAATTCTATTTGATCCAGCAGTCAAAGGACAGGTATATTCCCAGCTTCCAGATTTCAGACATCGTGAATGGCATATTTGGTGAACTCTAAAATGGAACAGAGTGAACATATCATGGATAATAGGCCTACTGGAAAGCATTATTGCCCCTAACATAGGTAGCCTAATTACAGTACACTTTAATTTCTCCTTCTTCATTAACAGGTACTATGGGGCATCTTCAATGAATTGGCTCTCAGCGTTTTGGCTTTAAGCTTCTGTTTCCATCTTTATATTATTGAGAATTGGTCGGCTGGGTATCAAGCCATTCTGGCTAGCCTAGTTTCTTGGATGTAAATTAAACCTGTAAATTTAAGAATATTTATTTCAGCCATTTCCTATGGCACAAATGCTACTCAAATGTATTTCTCACTCCTTAATGAGAGGAAACTGAAAATAATTCATCCTAATTTTGGTGATTCAGAATCACCTGTTAAACATCAGTCATCATGATATTTTATAGTTATAAATATTGATATAAAACTCCTAGAGTCAACTTACTGCTTATTTGCTTCTTTCTCATAAAATAAAGCTCATTTGTGAGACTCCTTGAGCTAGTGCAGTAGGCCCCCCTCAAGAGTCTTTATCATCTTTAAAGAAGTTGTCAGTGCATTCGCTGTTGCTGCTCTTGCCCCTGACTTTTCATCTTCATTGAAATAATTATTTCTGATCCCTGGAATATCTGCAGCTGGACCACAAGCACCAACCTCTGAACTTGCACCCACTCTCCCTTCTCATTTGTACTAATTTCATTAACAAAGGATAATAGAAGGGGAATCTCCATGACCCTTTCAAAGAATTTTGAATATATTTTGAGTGTGCCTACTCCAAAGCAGAACTCAGCAAACATTTTCTGTAAAGGGCAGACAGTAAATATTTCAGTCTTTGTGGGTCACGTACAGTCTCTGTCACATATTCTTCCTTTTTTTCTTCTTCTTTTTTCTTGGAGGGCCATACATGGGCCAGATTTGGCCTGCAGCTGAAGTGTTCTGACTCTTGCTCCAAAAATACCATTGTTTATCATTAGAGCAGTGGTCTCCAAAACTTTTTGAAAGTGGACCCCTATCATTAAAAAAAATTTCAGAATATACTCACAGCATAGGTATTTATTTTTATTTATAAAATATTTACATGTTTTTATCAAACTAATAAATTATGTACATCATAAAACATACACAAAAATGGAAATTTAAAAAGCATGAGATAAAATGTAGGTATAAATAGAAACTCTAGAAGTTCTTTTTTGTGCCCCAGGAGATCATCTTGTCCACTCTCAGAGAATCTGAATTTCATCTTGGAGCTCTCTATTAGAGAAAAAAGATGACACTTCTTACATGACACTGGCCCATAATTTCCTAGAAGATCTTAATAACAGCTTTACCTTGAGTCTATTTAAGCCCAAGGGAACTTGATTCATTGGGACCTGCCAAAATAAAGGTTGAGAAACATTACAAGAATAGACTTAAAAAAAAAATCAATTCTCTAAAACTATTTAGAGAATAGACTATGATCAAAAATGAGTTCCTCAAGACCATGAAATTTCTCTTTAGGATCATGGTTTATTAACCATTTTTTACTGGTGAATATACAGTCTTTTAATGTGATATCTCACTCGAAATGTTAAGGCCACCTCTCAAAAAACAGCAGACAACTCAGATAAACCCATTTACTTGTGAAACTGGACTGTTTAGCAGCCAATACCTGGAACCCAGGGCACTTTCAAATTATTTTCTAAGAACCATTTTTGAACATGGCCTGCATCAGGCCCCAGGACTCTTAAGTTTGGGTTCATGGAGTCCATAAGTGGCTGTAGGTGAATTTTAGTGTATCAATGACCACATTAAATTTTTATGTAGAGTGTATGTATGTAATATGTGCACATTTCTGGGAATATGGCCATAACTATCCATTTAGGAGACAGAACTCACGCCAGCTATTTTGCCAGAAAGAATTTGATATAAAGAATTGTTAACTAAGTTTAAGATTGCTAACAAGGTAACTGAAAAGGCAAAAAGAGAACTCTAAATGATCATAGAGGTAGCAATGGCAGGAAGCTACTGCTATGCTTAGAGTTGAACAACAAAGAAAAGGGGCTTAATTAACATTTAGAAACTCGGGGATGAGGCCCCCACACCTGAAACTCAGATCTCTGAAGAGCAGCTGCTTATTGGGTACTGGAGCATCTTAAGACAAACACCAATCAGCTGGTTGTGGGGGGTCTCTGAGGGCGTGTGTTGGTGCTGGTTCTGAGAATGTTGGAATCCCCTCACATAGAACTCAACTGAAGCCTCCAATACAAACTGGCATTGCTTGAGGAAAATGCAATGCCAGGGTGGTGTTCTGTTCACAGGAACCGTAAGCCGACAGACAGGAAGCCAACAAGACTGACCAGAACCCTTCTTCTTCTTCTGGTCTTGCAGTCTCCCTGAAGTGCCCCCCCCCCTTGATGGACCCTGACAGATGACAGCTTGCAAAGCAGAAACGTGCTTTTCAGTATCACAAAGCTGGTGCGTTTAAAGTTCAGAGATAATAGTTTAATCACTGGGCCATTTGGCCAATAGATTCTGACTCTTCAAATTCTGGGAGGACTAGGACCCCAAAGGTTAAAACCTCTACTCCACATTTCTTAATAATTTGGGAAGGAGGACTGTTTCATGTATGGAGGTACTGCTTCACAAATGAAGATAAATCAGAATCTGAACAATCTGAACTGTTTGATTTTCTGGGTTCTGGTATCACATAGAACAGACAGACCCATAATTAATCTATCATGAATGTTCTGGAAGTAAACTTATGTAGTTAGCTGGTGAGGTCCCATTTCTTTTCCTTTAACATTTCGCTTCTTCCCTTTGGCTTTGTCTGGAAAGCAATTTTGTTTCTTAGGGTGGTGTAGTGCATACCATCTGTGGTGGACTCCAGGACCAGGATCCCCCAGGGGCCTAGCTGTGCTGCTCCCTGGCCCTCTGGGCCATGACTGACACTGAAGTTGGAGACAGTGGGGGCAGCCCACTGTGGCCCCTGAAGTAGTTCAGGTTCAGGAAAAGGGCGTCTCTCTTAGGTAGGGACGCTGGGAGACGCTAGCTAGCAGTTGCTGGCAGCTCTTTCCCTCCGCTATGAGGAGGAAACCACTTTGGAGGAAGAGGGGACTGAGCCAGCCCACATAGTGAGAAAAGCAGAGAGTAGTGGCCGAGTTCTGCAACTTTCCAGCTCTGCTTCCAGTTGCCCCAAAACAGCCACACGACCACGCTGTGTGAACACAGTTTGCTTACAGGAATCAAACTTACTTTCTTTTCCCCTTATGCTTATTCAAGTTGATTTTCTATCATTGGTTCTCAAAAGAGGGCTGCCTAAAGCGGCTCTGCTGTGCTTCTTTTTAATAAACTATTTAGACAATTAACCTAAAAGCGCGATGGTACTTATCTCTGAAGATTGCCTGAGGAGAGAATGAGAAAATGTACGTAAAGCACTTAGCATGGTGCCTGCCATATACTACATGTTAGAAAAAAATTGTTGTGAACACAGTATTGTATTATCAAAAGCCTAGCTTGTCACTAGGCTGTGCTATATATAGCGATTTCTCCCCGTATTTCATTTGCTACTCTACTATACCATTTGGTTTGCCCTTTTTTTTGACACACTATCAAAAGCCTAGCTTGTCACTAGGCTGTGCTATATATATAGCAATTTCTCCCCATACTTCTTTTGCTACTCTACTACACCATTTGGTTTGCCCTTTTCCTGACATCGGATACTGTCAAGGACCAATAAGGCACAAGAAGGTAGCTATTAACCCACAATGGCAGTGCATCATTTCTTCAAAGATATTACCTAAGTTTAGTGCAAGTGTCTATGGGGGCAGATGTCCAGTTAAAGATTAGGAGAATTTACTTTTCTTTTTACCTTCTGCTATACATCCTGTTCTCTGCTATCTCTATCAGTTGTTGAATCTCTATTGTTATTTCTAATTGGTGATGTTGAAGCTCCACATTTGAGTCTGTTGTCTCTTGTGTCTTGACTTCTCATGTGAAAAGTCTGGCTATTTATTTATTGTATTTCAGAAGATCAATGTAATAATTTTCAATGAGAATTATAACTCTTATACAGACCAGTGTATTCTTTTGAGGCATGAGATAGGAAGTCAAATTAAAATCAGAAGGTTTCTTGGTGATCCAAGAATCAATGTGAGAGAAATAAGATGACACCCCCCTTTCCAGCTGCTTGATTTAGCCATCAGTGCTGCAGGCTTGAAAAGATAAAAGTACTTAGTTATTCAGAAATTATTTTCAATTATTATCAAACCAGACGGCTAATGATTATCCAATTGCTGCTATTTAAAATGAACAATTGAGGGGGGGCGGAGCAAGATGGCGGACGAATAACACCGCCAGACAGAGGGTCTCTACAGAAAAGACCAATTCTAGCAGAAACTAGAGGAAAGAAGCAAGAAGACGAGCATACAGCGGACAAGGGCC